TTTTTTTTTTTTTTTTTTTTTTTTTGGTGTGATGCAGGTGATCAAACACATAGCCTTGCCCATTCTAGGCAAGTCCTCTGCCACTAAGCTCTAACACCAGCCCTTGTTTTCCAGATTCCAACTCCAAGATCCCTACTGCTACCTCACTGTTAAAATGTTTTTGCCAGAGCTGTTGAAAAAGACATTCTGCCACTCTACTTGGCAATAAAAGTTTCCTTTCTCTCTTTTCCTTCTTCCTTCCCTTCCTAAAAGGCAATTCCAGTAACTAATGAAGCTAGAAACAAACAAACAGGCATCTAGAGAGCAAAGAAAAGAAAAGGATGCAAATATACACAAACAATGCTCAGTATAGTGTCCAACAGCAGACTAAAACAAGGGAGTCTGGGTATGAATCAAGATGTGGTCATTACTGACCCAAAGAAAGTCAATTTCTAAAGTTTCCATCTCTACAAAATAACTACACAGTAACTACATCACAGTGTTTTTCTGAGGATGAAATTGCTAACATACATAAGATACAGAGAACACTTGTCATACAATAAGTGCTACTCAAATGTCAGCCACTAATAGGAGTGGCTATAATGGCAATACCAAATTAGCCTTAACTTCTTCTCCTGTCAAGCTACTGCCCCTGAAAAAGCCCCTTATGTTTGATACATATCATTTTCCTAACATAATAATACTTATCATTTAATACATATTATTTTCCTTACATTTCAAGGTTAGTTCTACTCAAGCACAGAATTAAAATACTCATGTAAAAGTAAAATGCCATGGCTCTTACATAAAATCTGATCAATAAAAGTCAATTATAAGTTGAACTGAGCAGATATTCTTTCACATTTACTGCAAAAAGCACCTATCAAATTTCTTCTTGTTCAGACCAGCATTTTAACATGTACTGTTTTTAAAACTTACTTTAAAACTAAATGCAAGTTAGCAGAAAGCCGAGGATCTGTAAATTGTGTTGTTCTGTTGTTATGGTCAACGAAATAAACTCTGCCTGTTGCAGTATTACGGATTTCCCATCCAGGAGGCAAAGGACCAAGCTCTTCACAATTGATGTTGCTAAGATCCCTGCAAAAACAAATATAAAATAAAAAAATACCTCACTGCTGGGCCTGCTGAGCCAAGCAAGTGTAAATGACACAGAACAATTCCATGAAGACAGAAAATGTATTGTTTCAGACACTTGAGATGTTTAGCTGGAATCTTTAACTCCCAATGGTTGAACAAACTTGTAAATTCAAAACCCAATCCATAAATGGCTCAGAAGAATTTATCATATAGCCTATATTTTAATAAGTTTGTTCCTGAGTTTAATGTTATATATTTTAAATTAATACAAAAGCAATCATGATATTTGCCAACATAAACCATACTTCAATGTTTGATAGGAAATATTGTTACAACTATTAACAGTGTAAGGAATTAAACGTTTTCTAAAATTGTCCTACAATTATTTCTTTACTACATCATAAAAATCTTTGTAAATAAATGTCCATTCCATGAGTAATTTTAAGCTTTCTAAAAAGAAAAATTGGAAATGTTATTGAAATTATGATCCTAAAATAATCAGAACTTTTTTTTTTTTTTGGTACCAGGGATTGAACTTGGGTCCTTGCACTTGCAGGGCAGGTGGCAAAACTACTGAGCTAAAACCCCAGCCCCACAACGTATATTTAGAGTAACTTCTTCATTTTCAATTTTCAAATATATAAAGTTAGCAAATGAAAAATCTGTTTAAGGCACCTAAGAAAGGCTAGGCTTAGTGGTGCACACCTGTCATCGAAGCACTACGGGAGGTGAGGCAGGAAAATTCCACATTCAAGCCCAGCCTGGATAGTTTACAAGACAAGACAAGACCTTATCTCAAAATAAAAAGAAAACAAAAAACAAAAAAAACCACCAAAAACCTAAGAAAGAAGAAATGCTCTGATTTACTTGGTGAAACTTAAAAAAATGTAATGGACCAAAGACTATTGTTATCATGTTACAAATGAAAGACTATTATACATAGACAAGGGTTTATAAGACCTTAAAGAAAGAGACAAGGAGCTGCCAAGCTGTTGAGCACACCGATGTTCTGGGGAGAGGGGCAAAGTGAGTATGGAAGCTTGTCCTTGCCCCTGCCCTAGGCATTGCTTCCTTTTGATTATTCATTAAACAGCAATAAGGCTGCAAATTTTTATTCTCAACACTGTTAGAACAAAATATTCCAGAGTGAAGATTCCAAAGTGTTCAAATTGCTGCCATCATCCACTAGGATAGTTGAGTCACTGCTTTCAGTGACCCCACTGAGGCTACATATAATGACAAAACACGTTCAGGTCACTTCCAGCCCTAAATCAATTCTTTACACTTCTGAGACCACTTGTAAACTGAGGAAATGACACCCTATGAAACTGACCAAGCAAACCAAGCATCTAGACAATAAAACTGTGCCTTTTATAATCCCCTTTTTATTCAAGAGGGATAGAAGGAAGAGGCTGTATATAAAATTAAATTTTTCAAAATAATGTTTTAAAAGCTAAACCAGACATTTTCCTTTAATATAACCTTTTCTTAGAAGTCACAATGAAGAGGGAGAAGAGGAGGAGGAAGAACAACAACAAACAGCTGGAGCAGCAAGTAGGGAGAGGGTCAGGCCAGCAGCAAAGTTAGAAACCTCAAACTTTCTTTGGAAAGGAAACACAGAACTTCCTCACTAAGCTAAGAACTCACTGGGAGGGATGAAGTGATTCCAGGAAAGCTTCCTAAATTTCTATTTTAGGTTCAGAAAACCCCAACTAATCAAGATCAAATAATAAACACACAATCTAAGATCACCAAACACTTGAGAAAGGAAAATCACTGTGATCGTCAGTGAAACTATAAGCCACAGAATCAGATCCCCAAATACTGTTAGAGACCAAAAAAGAACAGCCATGATACCCAATATTTTAAAAAATTAAAAGGTACAATCACAAAGATAAACTATCAATGAAAGATTAAATAAGATTTTCTTAAGTGGAACTTCTAGAAGTAAAAAATAATGACAAATCAAAGAATGAATAATTTGCCAGGCATGATGCCACGTGCCTGAAATTCCAGAACTTGAGGGGTTGAGGCAGGAGGATCACTGTGAGTTTGAGGCCAGGCTGGGCTTACATTGTGAGGTTAAGGCTAACCTGAACTACACAGTGAAACCCTGTCTCAAAAAAAAAAAAAAAAAAAAGAAATTTTTGATAGCAGAATTTGATTTTATGTTATTTTATTTCAAATTTTATAAATCTATGAGCATACGTAGAGGAGCTCTAAAGGACTTAAAAGAGCAAATCACTGGAAATAATTTTTATGACTAAGTGGAAACTGATTAAAGAAAAATGGAATGTTAGGAAACCATAAAAAGTTATGCAAATCTGTATTTCAAGACTATAGTCAGTATGCAATAGAATAAGTGCTATTCATTATTTTAAACAAAAAAAAAACTATCATAAAATGGCATTTCTCAGATAAATTTAAACATGAGATATCTTTAAAGTTATGTTTCATTTACACTATTTTATAACTGTTTTTAAATAGTGAGATATTTAATAGAATCTAAATAGTTATATTATGCTTTGATAAAAGATCTTCCACACAAAAGGAATCTTTGCTAAAGGATGCTCCAACATAAAGGATAAATACATAAACTTTTAAGGTAATTTGGGGCTCAGAAAGACTAAGAAAAACAACAGCATTATTTCATAAAGAGATTCAAAATAGACATCAATGCTTGTTATGGCTTGTATCTAGATGCCCCCCAAAGCCTCATGTGGTCACAGGTGGGGGGGGTTTTGGGATCAAAGATGTGAGGCTAGAATTGATTCAGTGTGCTGTTAGGATCAAGGGTGTAAGCGTTACCTTCCCTAGCCTGGATAAGATCTAAGGGATAGAAGGAGCTGCTGTAGTCCTGCTTATCACTAGTCACTTGTAGCTCACTTGCGTGCTGCCTTCTGTCTGCTCTGCTCTACCATGACTGTCTCTCCTCCGTGAGGTCCCTCTGCCATGCCACTCTGCCTGGAGCCAGCCAACTATGAACTGAAACCTCTACAAACTGTGAAGCTAATTAAATCTTCCACTCTTTAACTTTGGGTGTTATGTATTTTGTTTCATCAATGAAAAGTAACTAAGACAATACTTTTTTTTTTTTTTTTTTTGTAGTAGTGGTGATTTCAAGGATTGAAACCCAGAAACACTCTTTTTATTTTCCCCAGCTCTTTTTATTTTTTTTTTCTTTAATTTTGAGACAGGGTCTCACTAAACTGCCAGGCTGGCCTCAAAATTTGTAATCCTTCATCTCAACTTTCCAGGTAGCTGGGATTGCAGGTATGCACTACCACATCCAGCTTCAACACAAAATATTCTTACACCTTTATAGAAATCCCCGAAATCATCTCAGTTTCATCTTCTGTTGCCAGGTTACATTCTGTTCTTTTAACATTTAATGTCAACATTTTCACTAATGCAAATCATTTAGTTTTTAAAAATTATTTTTTTCTATACATTTCCTGCCAAAGACTTGAAATCATTTTTAGAGAGGGTCCCCCCCACCGTTTTTTTCTTTTTTGGTGGTTTTTGTTTGTTTGCATGTTTTTTGGGTTTTGTTTTTAAGAATCTAAAAAACTTTTCATAACTTAACAAAACTGATCTCTGTAAATTAGGCCTTCAGATCTTCTTTTTCAGTGAGTTTAATAAATATAAAATTCCCTCTCCACTACTCCTTAAAAACTAGTCTGTTCAAGACACAGAAACAGCAACTGTCACTCAGTTATTAGTGCAGCACATTTCTTTGGCTACTACTTTCAAAAGATTCTAATAAGCTCTACAACAATATAAAATATTTTCACTATAACAGTTTTTCTAATAAATAAATAGAGTTATCAAAGCAACCCAAGATCAGCTAGTCACATCTGTTTTTGATTCAGTTATACTTCCTAACATTTAGGAAGAAAATATCTCAATTCTCCATCAGTTTTTTTTTTTAATTGAAGTGTGGTGTTTGAAATATAAAATATCCTCATTCAGCAAAGATATATGTGCATGCAAAAAGCTGATTTAAAATTTAACTTTGAATTCAAGCCTTTTTTAGCTTCAGCTATACCATTTGGTAGTCTGCATCTCATTCGTTAGAAAATAATTCAGAGAAACTAAGAAATACTTGAAAAACTCATCTGATACTGTATCAAAGATTATGTTAAATTATTAAATTGATTTGTACGCCATTTCATCTTGAAGTTAAAAGGTAACTGCCATTTTGGTTAGTACTGCAATACATATAGCTCAAATGTAAAGGGTTGTTTTGTTTTGTTTTCTAAGACAGGTTTCACTATGGAGTTCAGGCTGATCTGAACTCACTATGTAGCCTAGGTTGTTCTCAAACTTATAGTGATCCTCCTGCCTCAGCCTCTTGAGTGCTGGGATTACAGGCACCACCACACCCAGCAAGTTTTGGTAACTAAATGAAACTGAGTTAAAATGACCTCTGTTGTTTTCTTTCATACAAGAAAACGATTAAGAAGCACATAAAAGAACACAGAATAAAAAAAAAGAACTGAATACATTTACACGAGGTCAACAAATTTAAAGACTTTTTCTAAAAAAGCCTAACCAAAAATAAGAATATCAATCTTCCAACCTATCCCCATCTCCCCCCCGCTTTTTTTTTTTTTTTTTTGGTTTTTTGAGACAGGGTCTCACTATGTAGTTGAGACTGACCTGAACTCACTATGTAGCCCAGGCTGGTCTCAAACTCACAGCAATCCTCCTCCCTCAGCCTCCCAAGTGCTGAGCTTACAGGCATGAGCCGACACACCCAGCTCGCTCATCCTCCCCCTTTTTTGAGACAAGGTCTTGCTATATAGTTCAGGCTGGCATTAAACTCACTATGGAGCCCAGGTTGGCCTTGAACTTGCAGGGATTCTTCTGCCTCAAGCTACCAGAGAACTGGGATTATAGGTTTACACCACCATTTCAGGACAATCTCACTTTTTAAAGGATATGTTTATCCAAGTTTAATTTCAAACTCTGAAAAACACACTTTTTGGTACCAGAAATCAAATTCAGTACCTTGCGCTTGCCAAGCAGGAGTGGCCCCAATGAGCTAAATCTCTGGCCCTAAACACACATTTTTTAAAAGGGGGATAAATTAGGGGGGCTGGATATCAGTGAGGGTGGAAGGGATGAAGTGTGGGCTAGCAATGCAGAGTAGTAGATAAGACTTTCTTTCTACTAAATCTTGAAATGAAATTTTGGGGCCAGGGATTTAGCTCAGTGGTTCAGTGGCCTGCCTTGCAAGTGTAAGGACCCAAGTTCAATCCCCGGTACCAAAAAATAAGAAAGAAATTTCAATCAGAAAGAGCCTTTCAGCCGGGCATGGTGGTGCACACCTGTAATTCCAGCACTCTGGAGGCTGAGGCAGGTGGATTGCTCTGAGTTTGAGAGCAGCCTGGGCTACATAGTGAGTTCCAGGTCAGACTCAACTACATAGTGACACCCTGTCTCAAAAAAAAACCCAAAACAAAAAAACAGAAAGAGCCTTTCAAAAATATTTCAAAATATATATGCTAATATTTCATAATATTTCATTATTATGCCAATTTTTATTTATATTACCATTTTCTTAGTTCACTGAAAAGAAAGTTCTGTGCTATTATGTTTCTTTTTTATAACAGATTTGCCTTGCAAACACAAGGCCCCAAGTTCGATCCCCAGTACCCAAGAAAGAAAAGAAAAGAAAGAGGTATATGGTGTATTAACTACTGTTATTCTCTAATTGTTTTATTAGGAAGTTTTGTTTTATATTTTTCACAGAAGTAAATAGTGCTCTTCTATATTTGTTAATACCTACATGTATTACATTAAAATTAAAAATTAGCAATAATTAAATGGAAAAAATATAACAATATACTTTTATTGTAAAAGTTTAGACATTATATTGTTTTAAAAAATCAAAAATATTTTCTGGGCCTGACCTAGGTCTCAGTGATGTGGGTAAACACACTAACAAGGTCAAAATTGTAGAAAATGCAGGAGCTACTATGATGCTTCCCTATGAAAATGGTGATGAAAACAGACCAGCCAGCACACCAAGTTCCTTCTATGGGCAAGACCAAGATTAAGGGATGGGCTGTGGGGATCTGGCTCTATGGTTCCTGCATAAGGACAGTGACTGGTGGTGCCTGGATCTATGACACCACTTTTGCATCAGTCAGGTTTACTATCGGAAGAACGAAGAAACTAAAAAACCAACAGAAACTCTACTACACTATCTTAGACATTCTTAGCCTATAATAAATGGGTTAATTTATGTAACAAATTTGACTGGTTTGTTGTTAGTTATATTACACATTCTGATTTGCACTGCATTATTAGTCTTTGAAAAAAGATTTGGAAACTGAAGTCCTTCTAATTTAAAGTGGAAAAATTTCCTGAGATGAGTTATGCAATCTAATCTTTTTTCCTTCTTCCAGTAGTCAAATGACATAGCCTAAGAATAGTAAGCTTTACAGGTTAGATGTATGCCTTAGATTTTGTTTTTTGTTTTTTTGGCTTTTTCCCGGTAGTTAGGGATTGAACTCAGGACCTTGCACTTGTGAGGTAGGCATGGTGTCACTGAGCTAAATCCCCAGCCCTGCCTTGATTTTTTTATAAGTCTGTTCTTGCAAGTTCAACTAGTCTGAGGTACACTAGTCTAGACCAGTGGTGGCAAACCTACAGCACAAGTGCTGCAGCACGCTGTATCACTGAGAGCTCTAAAAGGCCCATTATCAACTGGTATATTCTGTGCATTTTTTTGTTTTTTGTTTTTGAGTAGTATTTTTTAAATTTCTAAAATTGTAGAATTTATTAAAGAGGCAAAGGATATACACAAATAATAAATTTTGGATAAAGCTGATATTCATGGTATGAAGAGTACTTAAAAATATGTTCTTACCTAGGCACTCTCGGATCATGCCATGTGCTCACACCAGTCTGAGTATGTAAGAAATACACCTGACCTTGTTGCGTTGTCCTCTGTTCTGTAAAATAAAGAAAGCTAGTATTAAAGTCAAATTTAGAATGTCTAAAAAACTAAAAATGTAAATAAGGTTCAAATGGTATAACTGATAATGTAAAATAGGAAGAAAGGGTCTAAAGGAGTAGAGAAGTAGGAAGCGTAGGGGAAAAGAAAAAATGTGAAAAAAGGAAAAAATGGAAACAAAGTCTTTGTAAATAGGGAAGAATGAAGGGGGTAAAGGAGGGCAGAGGAATGGGGGAAAAATAAGAATCAAGACACATCATGTAAAGGTACAAGATCCCAATGATGAATGTAACTGTACTGTATACCTAAAATGTACCAATAAACTTAATAGAAAAAAATATTTTAATTTAGAATGTCTATATCAAACAACGTGACATACACTAGGATGATATACTAACGGGAAATCCCCAAATTACCAATCTATTTCATTCTGAAAAATGACTTCATAAAACATTTGTTCTGTCTCCTGGAAACAATTTCATAAATGGTAATGAGGATTACAGGCCAGTTATCTAAAAGCTGGACTAATAATGTACCCAAACACTATATATGTTGCAATGGAAAAACAGAAAACAAAACTGTCACAATACCAATAATTAAAAAGACAAAAGAAATTATCTTTACTCTTCTCAATGCAGAGCCTAAAGGGAACAGAGGAAAGCTCAGAAGAAGAGGCTAGCCAACTTTGAGGAGACTCAGAGGAAGTTTTCAGGAACTTCAAAAGGGTTTGGAGGCTGATAATGCTTATCTCCTCTTTTATTGACAGATTTTTTTAAAGGCTTACTTTTGAGCTTAGACAGCTACAAAAAAAGATGGAATACAAGGAACACACTGTATAGTCATAAACAGGTAAAGATGGAAAAATAACCAAAGTGGAAAGAAGAGAGCTAAAGATCAAGAGTACACATTATGGAAAAAAAAAAGTCAAAGGTGATGTGAATGCAAAGCCCTTGGGAAGAGAGCAGGGAAGCCAGAGTGAAGTGAAAGAATCAGTAAAGAGTTTCTTCAATAGTGCTTTTTAGTCTTTCTTTCTTAAGCAACAGAACCAATTTTCAAAACCTAGTAAGAAATTTTAATATATGACAATAAAATTGCTAGTATTTTAGTATAAACTTAATTTGTTTATGACCCCATAATAAAGTCAAGAAAATTAACTTAAACTTTTAAAAAATAACAAAACTTAAAATTAGTTATAGATGACAGTTGTAAAAACTTCAGCCTTATCTACTTCATTCTGTGTTCCAGTTGTACAAAATTTTTAAAACTGCAAATGTACATATGGAAGGGAGGGGCTTTAGGAGGGGGGTAATGGGAAAAAAGACGTGGATGTTATGTACAGGTACACATTCCCTATGATAAGTGTTATCAGTATGTATGCCTAAAATGTACCAATAAACATTCTCTGTTAAAAAAATAAAATTAGGATACCTTTTGGCAGTTAGCATTAAACAAAATGTAAACTGCACAAATACTATGAAAGTATAACCATTCCTACTCTTGAACAGTTTGCCTTATAATATAAAAGAGAAATGGCAGGAGATACTTTAAGGTCTGAACATAAATAAACAGCTAAATTTTATTAGGTGTTTTCTATGCCAGACACTGTCAGGTATTTATGAAATTTGTACCACTTCCTTCTTGTAAATCAACCTGCACAGTGGCACTATTATTCCTCTAGTTTTATAGAAGACAAGGGTTGGAGATGTATCTCAGTGGTAGAGCACGTCACTAGCCTAGTATGTGCAAGGCCCTGGGTGTGCTGTTTAAAAAAACAAAAACAAAACACCTTTAAAAAATGAGGCTAAACAATATGCTCAGTAACATAGCAAAGTCAGGATGGGAATCAAGGTTTGTCTGTCTCACACTCTAAACAGGAGGCAAACTATTTTCTTCTCTTCTCTTCCTTTCCTTTCCTTTCATTCATTCATTTTTTTTGTGTTTTTTGAGACAGGGTCTCACTATGTAGTTGACACTGACCTGGAGCTCACTATGTAGCCCAGGCTGGTCTCGAACTCACCGACATCCTCCTGCCTCAGCCTCCTGAGTGCTGGGATTACAGGCATATGCCTGGCCAAACTATTTCTACATTTTTTTCTTTTTTTGTTTTTTTTTTTTTTTTTTTTTTTTTTTGGTGGGGAGGGGAGAACCAGGGATCGAACTCGGGTCCTTGAGCTTGTGAGGCAGGCAGCAGAACCACTAAAACTATTTTCAAATTAAAGAGCTAAAATAGGTTTTTAAATAAAATTAGAATAATTCATTTGCATGATTAGCTTTTAAAATATTCTAGAATAAAAATATGGTAAAACCTAAATCAGGCAATTCCTAATGTTGGTCATTAGGTGTCACAATTTGCTCAAAATAGTTTCATCTGCAGTCAGTATAAGAAGGCAAGGATGTAAGTAACTTGAATAACTTTAGCAAACAAGAAACATTCAAGTTTATAATACGCCAATGTTCAAAGCTGGGATTAATTTCAAAAGTTTTGAATTAAATTAGAAGATTCAAGCCATCTTCCACATCAATATCTACATTTCTAGAAAACTATTTAAGATTACAATCATATTATACAAACACAGAAGTGACTAATTTATAACAATCCAGTCAGACAATCCAAAATTATAGATAATACAAACGTAATAAACAAATACCAACAAAATGATTTCTAAATGTTTGTCTTGAAAAACACATTGCAGGTCTGACTTCAGATTACCCTTATCTATAATAATATTACCTTATTTTTATGCAATGCCTATTTGCATAGTAGTCTCATTTCATTTCATGAAGTGTTTTTTTTTTTTTTTTTTTTTTTTTTTTTTTTTTTTTTTTTTTTTTCCGAGACAGGATCTTGCTACATAGTTCAGGTTGGCCTTGGACTCATTATATAGTCTAGGCTGGCCTCAGACCCATGGTGATTCTCCTGCTTCAACCTCCCAAGCGCTGGGATTATAGGCTCATCACATTTCATTTTAATAGAGAATGAAAGCTGAGGTTAATGACTAAGCCAATGGTGAGCTGTTGGTTATACAGTCTTCTACTACCTTAAAGATTTTTCAAAGTTGGGAGGTATCTTAGTTACTTTTTTCATTGCTGGGACAAAATAACCTCACATCCACAAGTTAAAGGAGAAATGGTTTATTTCAGCTCACAGTTTGTAGCAGTTTCAGTCCACAGTCAGCTGGCTCCAAGGCAAGGTGGCATGGCAGAAGGGCATCCCAGAGGAGAAATAGTTCATGGCAGAGCAGGCAGGAGGTAGCAGAGGCAAGCAGTAAAGCAGGAGCAAACCTCCCTTTCCCCTTTATCACGTCTAGGCTATAAGCCTTTTGGGTGGTGCCACCCACATCAGGATGGGCCTTCCCATTTTCCACACCAGAACAATTCCAAGCCAATCAGTGGACTAATATATACCACATACCCTTAATCCCAGTATCACACCCCCTACATCTAGCCAGTTACAGAAAGCCCCACCTTTGAGTGCATGAGGCTTTGTGGGGACATCTAGATACAGGCCCTAACAAGAGATTTTATATTTGCTCTTATTTTCAGACAGAACCTTTAAGCTCAGATTAAAAAACTTTAAGTTGATGTTCTTTGTTAGCAAGCTGAAATTGGTAAACCATGCTCTATTTTCCCTAATATCATACCATAGCCTTCCGGTAGGTCTGGAGGAGTATGTAAATGTGTCCTACTCATGTAATTTCTATGTCGCTGTGACCTGACTCTCCTCTCTGCCAGCCTGGGATCTGAAGACTGTCCACATGTTGCACCATTTGTTCCACTGATAGGAGTGTTCTCATCAACAAAGCAGCTAAGAGGTCTGCCAGGACTAGAATATTCAGATGCCGGTCTATTGAAAAGCAATAAGGAAAAATGTTATCAGCTCAGATATCAAAAATAAGAGTTCACTAGAAAATATATACTACAGTAATATTATATAAGAAAATGGACTAATACAAATATAATGATTCCAGGAACTTTAGTAAAAGCAAGCCTGAGGTCTCTAGACACCAAAGAAACACATGAAGTAAAAACATCAGTTATGTATTTAAATGGCTTTTTTTTTTCCCGGTACCGGAGATCAAACTTTGGACCTTGAGCTTGCAAGGCAGGCAAAGTGCCACTGAGCTAAATTCCCAGCCCTATTTGATTTTAGATATATAGATATAGACATAGATTTAGACATAGACAGAGGCGTTCTCTGTTTTGTCTTTGGTGGTACTGAATCCAGAACCTCATGCAAGGTAGGCAAGTGCTCTACCACTAAGCTACAAACCCTTTAGACCTTTTTAGTTTATTCTGAGACAAGGTCTCACTAAAGTTGTCCAGGGTGAACCTGAACTTAAGATCCTCATGCCTCAGACTCCCAAGTAGCTGGAAATACAGGTATGAGCCATTGCATCTGACGATTTTAATCATATTTTGTATAAAATCCAAATATATTTGTAATTTGAGTACTGGCTTACAAAGCATAACTCAACCTTGATATAGCCTACCTCTTGGACCTGATTTCCTATGATTTGGCCTCTGTCACACTGATATTCTTCCTGTTTCTTGAACTTCCCAAAGTCAGGTTACCTTTAGTCCTTGAGAACAGTACCTCTTCTTTTCACAGAATATTATTTTCTCTTATTCTCTCTAGTCCTACCTCTTTTTTGTTATTCAAATGATAGTTTACATTTAAACAAGGCCTAAGGGGCCTTTCCAGTCTAAAAAAGTCCCCCAGTCATTTGACAGAACAAAAGTTCCCAAACTTATAATAGTTTGATCTGAGCTTTTTTTTTTTTTTTTTTACTTTGCTGATGATGGTGGCACATGTCTGTAACCCAGCACTCTTGGAAACAGGGGCAACAGGTCCCAAATTCAAGCTGAGCCTGAGCAGTTTGGGAACACAGCAAAACCCTGTCTTAAAAAGTAAGGATTGAGATTAACTGGGGAGAACAGCTCAGTATAGGCCTTGGGTTCAATCCCCAGTACTACACATAAATAGAAATTGTTTTTTGGACTTAACAGTAATGCAAAAACCACCAGCATTCAATAGAAATTGTATTTATACTGCTTCCCAGACTAGCAAGTGATACACACAGATACTCTCAAAATGCTGGGTGATGGCAAGTTGTACCTCCCAGTTAGCTATGTGGTCATGAAGGCAAAGAATGATAATATGCTGCTAATATATGTTTGCTATACTAAGAATATTAAATGAATTCTTAACTTACAGTATTTTAAATTTACAATGGTTTATTAAACATATCCCCAGTCATTAAATCACGGAGTATGTTGTTCACTGACTCAGTTCCTCAAGCACAGAATTTATTTTTGATATTTTTCCTCTTTATTTCCTTATTTTTCTCCATCTTCCCACCAGAATATGTACTGAAAGAAGGGAACCTGCCTTGTTTTTTCCAATATAAATATTTCTATCACCTAGTGCCTGACACACATGTACAAAGAGCTAATTAACATTTACTGAATGAATAAAAGAGAGATACTAGTTTGTCTCATGAAGGAAATTTCCGGTCTTTCAAAAGAAAAAGATAATCAAGAATTCACTTTTAGGGGTGTCAGGGATTTAAGCTCAGTGGTTCTGCCGCCTCTGCCTCACAAGGACAAGGACCCAAGTCCAATCCCCAATACAAAAAAAAAAAAAGAGAATTATTCACTTTCCAAGAATTCACTTTTAGGGCTGGGGATTAGCTCAGTGATGCCGCCACCTGCCTCACAAGTTCAAGGCCCAAGTTCAAGCCCCAGTACCAAAAGAGAACTCACTTTTAAATATAACAATCAACATTTTATACATGTAGAAATTAATTTTATTAATAAAATGAGATAGAAGGAACTGATCTCCATTTAAACACTGATACAAGTGTACATTCACTCAGGCTCAGATAAAATAAAAATAACTTAGTCAACTTCAACAAAATACTTGGCACTTTACACTATACATGCAACAGCATGACCTATCAAACAACCTTTTTCACAATAACTTTTAAAAATAATAATAGCACCTATCCAGGAATAGTGGTTTTTTTGTTTTGTTTTGTTTTTGTGCCGGGAATTAAACTCAGACCCTTATACTTTCGAGACAGGCAGCAAAACCACTGAGCCAAATTCCCAGCCCCTAGCCAATCGCAGTAGCGTACACCTGTAATCCCAGCACTCAGGAGGCTGAGTCAGGAGGATCACTGTTTAAGGACAGCCTGTGCTACATAGTGAATTTAAGGACAATCTGAACTGCACAGCGAGACCCTGTCTCAGTCAATCAATCAATTTTAAAATAATAAAAATAAGAATAGCACCTAATAATCTAAAACAGTAAAAGCCAAGGGGAAAAACTCTGGAAAAATTGAGAGATAAATGGGAACTTCAAAAAGGTGACTAGCACAGACAATGGAAAATACTGTATATTCTTACCTTGTTGGGCGTTCCCATTGTGTAGTTCTTGTTATGTGGTTTAGATACTGGATTCTTCCAGAGGCAGTTCTCCGTTCTTCCCAGCTTAAAAAAAAACATTGACAGATAAGGCCATCAGTTGGAAACTGGATAAAGAAGATGTGGTTTTTCTATAAAATGGTATACCACTCAGCCATAAAGAATGAGAAATTCGATTAATTCATAGGAAAATGGATATATATTGAGGATATACTAAGTGAAATAAATAAGTCACACATGTGTAAATACCTAATAGTTTCTCTGGTGTGAAAAACTATAATAGTACATAAGATCCTAATGAGATAAATGACAATGTGAAATAGGAAGAAAAAGGGCTAAAGGTATAGGGAAAGTGGGCAGGATAGGGGGAAGGTAATAAGGGAAAAGAAAAAAATATGAGAAAATGAAAAAATGGAAATAAAGTGTTTGTAAATGGGGAGGGGAGGAAGGGGTGAAGGGAGGGCAAGGACAAGGGGAAAAAATGAGAACCAAGACCTGCCATGTAAAGGTACAAGATCCCAATAATTAATGTAACTGTACTCTATACCTAAAATGTACCTACCAAAAAACTCAATAAAAAAAAAACATTGAGAGATAGGTTTTAATGGGTATTAATAGGAAGCTAGGACATGGAATGTCTTCAGTGCGATCACTAAGCCAGGAAGGTATCTGCTGCTCAAATCAGGAAGGTCAAACAGGATTTTTTCCAACTTATTTTAGAACTGCACATGATATGAAATTCTGGAATTCCTGAAATATCTACACTAAGATGTGACAAATATTTGCATCAGCCAACCTCCAAGAAGTTTTTGGTAACGTCAACATCCCTGAAATTCCTCCATAATTTTCTGATAATGGCTGTGCTAAAAATATATTTACTCAAAATCAATTAGGTCTTAAAACTAGTATGCAGAAGACTAAGGATTGGAATCCAGCTGGTCTAAAAATAGAAATCATCCGTGATTATTTTAAAATTAAATTTCACTAGAAAAGCTTTCAAAAGCATTTTGCCTACTGGGCTGGTTACTGGAATTGTCAACTTGGCCTCATTAAGATACTTCTGGAGAGGTGACTGGGTCATGAGTTCATGAGCTCCTAGCTGAACGGGCTACTAGGAGAGGAAGCCTACTTGGAGGAAGCAAGTGATGAGGTATGGCCCTGGGCACTAGATCTGACCCCAGGCTCTTTCCAGCTCACTCTGCTTCCCAGCCACCGTAAGGTGATAGCTTTCCCATCACACCTTCCCACCATGATGTTATCTGCCTTGGAACAAGCTGACCGAGGACTGAAACCTCAGGAACTGGGAGCCACAATAAACCTCTCCTCCTTCCTTAAGTTATGAGTGTCAGATAGTATAAGCCAACAATGGGAAAACTAACCAATAAACTCCCCAAATTAATTTTTTAAAAATCAAGAATGCCACTTTTTCCTCAACTCTTTATTACAATTTATATATGGAAATAGGCAAATAATCAGACATATGGTAATGTTAATATTTCCACCAATATACTGGCAGAGTTTTAGGGGCATTAAACCACAAAAAAAGAGAGATGTGAGCTCACTCCTGTGCCTGTGATTACAATTATAATAATAATAGTGATGGACAAATGCAGAACAATAATTCTTATATTGCTTTACTCTCCCATTATTTCATCCTAATCTTCCTTCAAAGCTACCATAATCTACCTCACACCCATAAGAGCTGTAGACATATCAAACAACTAAAATGATCTATAAAGTTATTCATAAAAATTTTTTAAAGTTGAAACAAAATGAGCAAATATTACAGCTTAGATGTAAAATTTCATGTCAAAAATGAGTCAAAATCAATTATTCACTTTAAATGGATCTAATGCACTATATGTAAATTATACCTCATTGAAGTTAATTAAAAATACTTTGAAGGTTAAAAAATTAGAAAAGTGTCAGAATTAGTATCAAAGACATAACAAGCTTGCGAATCATCAATTAGGCTTGTGTTCAAACTATGCCACTTACTGTGTGGACTCTTAGGAAAATTACTTTATGCTGTCTCCCAGTTATTTAATCTGTAAAATGAATGACAGTAACTACAGTAATAACAAAAATGATAGTAATTATTAAATATTATGTGCAAGACTCTCAAGTGTTTTACATAAATGATTTAATTCTCTCAACAATTTATGAGTATGGACTTTCATCAATCATTTTTTTTCAATAAATAAACTAAAGCTTTGGAAATTTAAATAAATTAATAGCATAAAGTCAGTAAACAGAAGAGTTAAGGGTTGGAACCCAGCTGGCCAAATTCCAGAGTCATATGCTATATACTACTTTCCAAGATGCTATGAGAATTAAAATGATACAATGTATCTAAAGTTCTTGCAATAGAATCCCACACATATATATATTCTCAATAAATGTTACAATTATCATGATCTGAATTCTCTTTCCCATCTCTCTCAACAGAATGTTTCAAATTCAGAGTTTGCATGCCCTGTTTTGAATAATTTAACCAAGCAAAAAGTTTTTCTTTTAAATAGACAGTACACAGAAAAAAAGTTCTACTTGGCAAGAAATTTCAGTTGCTTCCTTGTCAAAACTTTTTACAAGGGCCGGGGATTTAGCTTAGCAGTTCGGTGGCCTGCCTCGCAAGCGCAAGGACCCGAGTTTGATCCCCAGTACCAAAAAACAAAAAACAAACAAACAAAAAAAAACAAACTTTTTACGGTCAAAGCTCTTGAAAATTCAAATTTAACACACATAATTCATGGTTTATTTTGTAAATGTATAATAAAATCCTTCTAACTTTACAAGTAGAAAGAAAACCTACATTCTAGAACTGATCATAGCAAATGTCTAACATACATAATAAATAACAATTTATTTCTTATTATTTAAAGGATATTACTTATATATTTCTCAAATGATTTTAGTGATGTTAGCTTACCCGTCTGGTAAATCATTATCAAACAAACGACTGCAGTCCACAACTTGTCCTCCTGTGCCTATTCGGTCTCTGGACTGAAGACTTACTATTAAACAACAGAAACATTACTAATATTCATAGAACTACAAAGAACTATTACAATCTAAAATATCTATCTTCAGAAGACATTGCCTTACTTATTTTGATAGTTAAGAATGAATCTTTGGTTTCTAATAAAATCTGTAATTTTTCCCCATAGATGATTTTTCTTTAGGAGTAATACCAGAATCTTAGGTTTTCTACAATTTATCATGTCCACAGAATGAAGTCTACTTTCTTTTTCACCCTCCTAATAGAGCAATGCAAAGTTGCTATTATGTTCAAGAAGCGGCATTAATATATTAAGAGCACAGGGCCAGTGATTTAACTCAGTGGTTTCGCTGCCCAGCTCGCAAGCGCAAGGACCCGAGTTCAATCCCCAGCGCCAAAACAACAACAAAAAAAAAGTATGTATATTTTAAGAGTATGTTTACATTAATTCTTTTTCTTTCAGTTTTTGTTTTATTACTACCTGTTTGCAGTATATAATGACTACACTTTTCCTGGAGAGTTGGTACATGTACATAACACATCTTCTTTTTTTTGGGTACTGGGAATCGAACTCGGGACCTTGCACTTGCAAGGCAGGTTGTGGAACCACTGAGCTAAATCCCCATCCCACATCTTAATTCTTTTTTCTTTTCCTCCTGTTCCCCCATCTCTTCATCCCCCTCCATCTGCATAAGATCTATCTTCCAATTTCTATTATATAACTTTAATTATCTAACTTTTTTTTTTGCTCTTTATATTTCTCATATAATAGAAACCATGTTATATTTAAACTTGTGTGTCTAATTTATTTCACTTAACATTATATGGTCTCAATGTTCATTTTCCCACAAACAATTCAAAAAAATATGGAATGCTTCACAAATATGCATGTCATCTTACACAAGGGTCATGCTAATCTCTTCTGCAACATTCCAATTTTAACATATATGCTGCTGAAGTGAGCATGAGTTTCAATTTTTGATAATTTCACTATCTTTAAAAAATACCCTGGATTCTGGCAATAGAAGAATCGTTGGATTCCATGAGTTTTAAGAGTAATATAAATAAGAGTACCATTATAAATTTGGTAACAGGTGATACAAACTCTATAGAGTTGACTCTGCCAACTAGATTAGCACTGTAATACTGAACAAAACACTTAACATTCCTAAGGCCAACAATCCCAACTGAATAATGAGGAAGCCAGGTTAAATGATATCCCTCAAATCTTTCCTTGCTGCTCTGGTAGTCCTTAATTCAATTTTTGGCAACTCTCCCAAAAGACAGAAGAGGTAGAGCCAAAATGCCAAAATTGAACATAGTTTTGTTTTGTTTTGTTTTCCTCCCAGCACCGGGAATTGAATATGACTCCTTTACACTGACCTACATTTAACAGCCTTATTCCTTTTTTTATATTGAGACAGGGTCTCACTAAATTCCAAGGGGGGTTCAATGTTGAAATCCAGAGTGCAGGGATTATAGGTGTGTACCACTACTATGCTAACTTCTTAAAGACTTACTAAATTACCACATAAAAAGTATGCTGTTGGGCCGGGGATTTAGCTCAGTGGTTCCACAGCCTGCCTCAAGCACAAGGTCCCAAGGTTAATCCCCCGACCCCCCGGCAAAAAAAGTATGCTGTAAATAAAGTACAACATCTGAGGACCTTTCATTAAAAGAAGGGTCTCATAATTCTGCTCTGTAAAAATCTGAAAAATCAGAAAAAGTTCACAGATCTCTTATATATTAAATTTCATTTATAGGAGAGAACATTGTAACACACCTTGGTGAATGTAAACAACATGTTTTAGGAAAACTACTTTAAAAATACGTTTTCATATAAAAAAAAAGTAAAATATTTACTGAAACAGAATCGCAGTGAAAAACTATTTTCTCATTAGCTTTGTTTAGAACAGTATTAGGGTTCAAAGCTAAAAAATCAGCTTATATCTCCAGAATGTTGTATTGTAAAACACCTAAGCAATTTTTGGGTGTTTTTAAATAATCTAATTCTAGTTTATAAAATGAACTGTAGATATATGTTTTCCAGAGCCACTGTTCATAATATTTAAACATTAGCAACTAAAGATCCAACAACAAGGACTGGTAAAATTAATTATATGATAATCATATACTTACATTAAAAATGCTATAAAAATATAGCCATTCACAAAAGAGAAATAACAGATTAAAACAGACTATTAATATTTTGTATAGTGTAATATAATTTTTTAAAAAATACATAGGATTATCATGATATATTGTGAATACTCTTTAGGTTCTCTGTCAACAATTAGACTTTACAAAAAGCAAACAATATAAGAAAAATTTCACAAGGACAGAAAGAGCTCAATAATAATTTAAATACAAGGGAAGGGTTTATATTCCTTGAATCAATCATCACAATTTGGAAAAAATATTTTTAAGTTTACAATTCTTTAAAAAGAGAAAGCAAAATACACAAAAATGCTTATAAGTTTCAATGTTATAAAAACAAAAATAGATGTTCAATGATTAAATTATAATAATTCATCATTAAATACCAAATTGTTATAAATGAAAGAAAGCAAAATAAAAATTTTATGTTCCCTATAATCAAAATCATAGAAATATATATGTAAATAGAAATACCAGAAAGTGGTATTTCTTAGTGTGTTAATGTTTTCTTCCATTTCCCAAAAAGATGTTTTGAACACCTACTTACAATTACTTACAAATCACTTCTCAGCCTTTTGGCTAAGATCAAGGGTACAATTACTTACAAAAGCCCAATTCTCCAAGAGCTGAACTCACTGTCATGGTATGACAAAACTACACGACAGGATTTAAATTTAGCCTCCCTCTCTCTTATTAATGATCCTATTATGAGTTCCATATTCACACAAGAGCTTTAAATACACACGCACACACTTAAAAGTAAAACATCTGTATTTTATGCAGTATACACTAGTAAATATACTTCTAATGTCTAAAAGTTATTTTATAAATAAAAATTTACACTTAAATAGAACTATTCTGTTAATCCTAGATATTACTTGAAAGCATATATACCAAATCAAAACAACAGAAACAATTGCCCTGCATGCTAGAACTTATTTTTAGAATGTTTTGCACCCCATTATCAATCTAGGAATGACAGGAATTATGAGTAATTCTGTACTGCCAATGCTTCCCTGGGACAACAAAAATAGGGCTCTGTTAAGTGGCTATTCTGCCAGTTACCCAACTATCAATCCAATTCATTCATTACCTTGTAAGAAATGCAGTTCAAGTACCTCTGGGAACTAAAACTTGGGACATTCTAAAACTTCTTTGAGAGATTCATAAATCATTTTAGTCTAAATTCTGCCCTATCACAAGGTGGTAAGATTCCAGTTGAATTTTTTTCTTTAAGAAGCCTCCAGGGTGCCTTCTTCTGTGTCCTATCACGCTATGCATTATAATCAAATTTCAATCCATCAGTTTTTAAGAAAAGTCTCAAGAAATTTCATACCAAGACCTTTACTCTATGTCAATTCATGATAGTCTATTAGTCCATTTCTACTTAGTGTCATATAAGCTAACAATTTCTCCTTTTTTCCATATAAGTCTTATACTACCATTGCTCATTCTTTTTTTCAATTAGCATAGATTTTTTAAGACTGTAAAGCACTAAACACTAAACAAAAAAATAGAATATTCTTACTCAAAAACTAGTTTGAGGATTATCTTCAGGAAACTTTAATACCATCTACAAAATCTTAGTGCTATACTGTATTTGAATACTTTGAAAGGGTTCTTTTCTGGAGGATCAACAGTTCTTTACTTCCAGCTCTTTTTTTTTACATTAAGGATTTTTAAAATTAAATTAACTTGTACCCTAAATCCACTGTTTCCAATGTAGCACCTTACTTGATTCATATTTAATTTATGCCAATATAATGCAGCTATAGTTGTTATATTTTGATTTAAAAGGTACTTAAAACTGTAGGTCAGTCTGAATAAGGCCAAAATTTGCATAATTTTAAATTCCACACTTACCGACTATCTGTCCTCTAACTGTATCATTGTCATTTGGCCCAAGTTTGCATAGATCCAACCTCTGATCTATTTCAAATCAACAACAAAACAAAAAGTGAAAAAATTAGCTGGTATGAGAAATTCTAATATCTATTAGTAAAAGTAAATTTCTATTATATATTAGAAATCAAATCTATAAAGAAACACAAAACAAATGTTTAAAATTCTCTAACCTCATTTAAAATAGCATTTAATTGTTTTAACCAGTTTTGCTAAATTCAGATTTAAAAGACCATACATCATTGGTGTGTTATATTGCCAATAGGCAGTGACTATTTCTCCAAATATTTCAGACCACAGCAGTCTAAGTCTTGCTTTGCCTCCTAATAATTATTGGTCTTAAGCAATTTATACCTCAGCCTTGGTTCTGTCACATGTAACCTAGAACTTACCCTGCATTTTTCAATGATTAAATGAGAGAGTACAGTAACATAAAACTCAACATAGTGCCTGGCACATAAGCGTTCATTCTTACTACTTTTATCTAACCATTACAAATGACACAAACACACAAACACACACACACACACACACACACACACACAATAAATCTTAAGAAAAAACTAAGATTTTATTCTTCCGTTAATCATTTAGAGGAAACTTTTTTTTTCGTGGTACTGGAAGCTGAACCCAGGATCTTGTGCATGCTAAACAACTACTCTACCACTAAGCTATATCTGCAACCCTTTTTATTTATTTATTTTTGAGACAAACTCTAAGTTGCATAGGCTGCCCTTGAACTTTCGATCCTCCTGCTTCAGCCTCCCAAGCAGCAGGGATTACAGCCCTGTGCCACTATATCTGGCACAACTCATTTATTCTTTCAGATACTGGCTTGGCCCTCAAAGTTATAGTTAGGAGTGTCACCTATAGCCTGTTCATTCTGCTTAGCTGAATTCTTTTACAGGTATATTCCACCTGTCTTACATAATTATAAATCAATAAAACAAGGAGACCATCTTAGTCTTTGTATTCTCCACTTCAACCTCGCAGAACACTGCATCATCAGGTGCTCAATAAATATGTGATCAATATTACCAAACATCAAAAGGTCAAGAAAATTAATGCAAAGAAACAGTCACATGTAGTAGAAGGAAAAATCTGTGTTCCCAGACTATAGTTCCTGACCGAACAGCTAAAAATACATTTTCCCCTTTGCAAAATAAAGGAATGTTACTGAGTTCGTTATACAGGGCACTTCTGCAAAGCATGTTCTTCATCTGCTATCAGTTCCTCCAATTTGGCACTCTCCTTTGGCTAGAAGGCTTTTGCCCTTGGTTCTCATACAATAGGACCCTGCCATTTTTGTCTTTTGTGTCACCAGGGTTTAGAACAGTACCTGACAGGTTAAGAGTTCAATAAATGTTGGATAAACTCACACAAGAACACTGTAATGTCAGACATTTGATATATAAATTTTAAGTTTGCCTTCTGGATTAACAAAGCAGTATGGTTTTACATGCAGATTTTTTTCCAACCCCCACATCCTTCTCCTGTTGGCCTCTATTAACCCAGAAATATAAGAATTTCTCAGATGGCTTTAAATTTTGTCTGATCCAGAACTTCTAGTTCAGTTCTCTCCCTTTTATATAGCAGGTCAATGTTTATGTATGTGGGCTGTGGTATCACACCACATTAAAAGGGACCATCTCAATACGTCTAGCATTCAATGCTAAATTGACTCTACGTTTCTTTCCTTGTTTCTTTGCTAAATTATATAATAGTCTGATTATTAGCAAAGGCATTTGGGCTAAAATCCATGACAATAACTAACAATGTTTCCTACATAAAAAATTTTATAGAAAAAACGGTAACAAAAAAACCTTTCCCCAAATTTTTCCATCTATGTGTTTCAGTGGAAAGACTCCCAAAAGAACTCTGTGCCACTTGGGTTACTTGAATTACATAAATGTTGTCAGTTTGTCAATCTATTGTGGAAATGACTTTGAATGTCTTGATCTTAGTCTATCTTCTAAAATCCCAGATCAGTGATAAGCTGAGCTGTATTTAAGTAGCTGATATAACTTACAATCAATTTTTAATTTTGTCATAGTTTTATACCTCTTTTTTTTTTTGAGATAGGGTCTCACTAGATAGTTCGGGCTGCCCTCAAATTCACAGTAATCCTCCTACCCCAGCCTCCCAAGTGCTGAGTTTACAGGTGATGAAGATTACACCTGGCAGTTTTATATCACTCTTATCCACTAATAATTCTTTTTTTTTTTTCTTTTGTACCTGGGATCAAGCTCAGGATCTTGTGCTTGCAAGGCAGGCAAAGTACCAGAGCTAAGTCCCTGGCCCAATAATTCTCTATTAACTTCCACCTTCACTACTCCAATCACTTAAATAAAAATTCACTGCCATCTCACAAATCCATCAAAACCAGAGAATTGTACTAAGACATTTTACAAGTCATATTTACTTGGACACCTTTCTTCTCAACCTTCTGGATATCTATCTCTCCCTTCTTGTTTTAGGACCTTGAGCTTGCCAGGCAGATGCAACAAAACTGAGCTACATACATCCCCAGCCCTCAATCACTTCTTAATACTTATTACTAATATTTCACACATATATAGGAAATTTCTGGATCCTTACAATATAAAATATAATAAAAACATAAAAATTATAAGAACGAAAATAACACGATAATAGTGAACAAAAAATAAGAATTTTTTTAATTTAAAAAAAAGTATATACTCACAACCAGTGTCTTTGAGGCGGTTGATGGCGTTGGAAAGAAGTCGAACACAACCAAGAAATCCAGCACCTTGTTTTTTATGGATCTTCTTGTGATTCCATACACTGATTGTAACTGAATCAGACTTTCCAATATACCTACAAACCAAAATGGCTACATGAAAAACTTAATAAAGTAGTCTAAAATTTTTCTTTTTATATATTCTAAAGTCATAATTATTTTTCAGAGTATAACTAGAACATGCAAAGTATATTTCGAGTTCAGTCAATCAACATGACTGAACTTGAATTTTTAAAAGTTTTTAAATACCTAAAAATGATTTTTAATATAACTTTATCACATCTGCCACTCTCAGGCTGGGCAAAAATTCTTGTTAGTAAAAAAAAAGTTCTTTCTGTAGCTAGTGTCTAATAACACTAAGGGAGTTTATAATGATTCTTTTTTATTTCTTTCCAAGAACAAAAATCCTAAAAGAACTTTTATTATTTTTAAGTACTCTTCAATGACGTGACCTTCTACTTCAGAGAAGATTTTGTTTACTTGCAAGGGGCATTGTCAAGGCTGACAGACCAAAAATCTGACCTACCTGTTATATTTTTTAATGTTGTAGAACAAAAGCTGTTTGTAACGCTTTTCCCCTGCTTCTTTTCTGCATGCAGGCCTTGAGCGAACAGGACTCTTGCAGATTTCACTTCACTGCCTGCAGACAAGCAGAGCAGGGGAAAGCGTTACTGTACTTGTCTGTGCACATGCCTGCCAACTGTTAACATGGCATCAACCCATGGATAAACATGTAACATATCAGTGGAACCTAACTCTATTCCAATGACTGTAAGAGATCAAATTTTTGGTCTGGCAACCTTGATTTTAAAAGTATCATTCAACAAAAGACAAATATCAGAAAAATTCACCTAGTATATATAAAAGCCTAAGGCCCTAGAATGAGGGCTAAAACTTTTAAATAAGGAGAATGGAAGGGGCATGGAAGTCCCTGAATTCAGTTGTGCCTAAAGAATGGCTAACTCTGAGCTTTTAATTATAAAAGCTGATACATTCCTTTTGTTAAATTAAGCCAATTTAAATTTGGTCTCTGTTGCTTACACATGAAAGATCTAAACTAAAAATATCATTCAGAATACATACATCAATTTTCACTTAAACCTACCAGATGTATCTTGGTATGTAACTACTGCATGCTATTAATTCCAGAAGTAGGATCAAGTATTAAACAGGCAAATAACCTCAAACCAAACATTAAAAAAAAAAAATACAGACACTTCTTGTTTAACAATTAAGTTGTGATTTCACGGTTAAGTCGTTAAATGAATTGGTCACCAAAGAAGGAATTGTATATTGTATATACATTACAATATTCAGAACAAAGAATGGTCAAAGGAAACCAACTTGATAACCTTGCTTTCATAACTCTTACATGCAGTAATAGAACAGGACAGAAAATTACAGTATTGTAATGTACAGTATAATCAGCAAAAATTACAGTTGTATATAAACAAGGTATACTGTATTTTAAAAGACCCGAGGCTCTATAAATAAGATGTATAGAACTATACAGGATAAAAAAAGGTCAGAAGTCTAAGCAGTGGGTCATAGGTCTGAATAGCCATTAAATGAGTAAAATCTGTAAATTACATTAAATCAGTTTCCCAACTAACATGACTGGTTTGCAGATGGGCTGAAATATTGACTTTCAAGGACTCATGGCAGCCCACTACTGGCTCAAACAACTCCATCTGTTTACTGCAGTGCACCACCAAACTTTCTATGTGCACCATGACGCGAAGAGGCTGGAAAGCACTAAACTGCACTAAACATTTACTGATTATAGACCTTCTGAAAAATAATTCATGAATTACTAGAAATTATTAACTGTACTGTATTACTCAAGTCTGCGTATCATAAACATTCTGTACAAATACTCCTGGGTCAGGAATTAATCAGAAATATTATCATTTCTTATGACTAGAAAAATATCTCCTCTCATTTTAAGGAAATTTCATGTAACGTATAACGCATATGCCAACATAAAAGAAAAAGATGAATCTTTTTAAAATTGAAAGTTAAACAGAGTACTCTAGTTAGGTCCTATTAAAAACTTCATCATCAAATATGACTTATAAATAAGTTTCAGTATATTGCATCATGAGGGCTAACTCTACAGGAGAATGAAGTATTATCATACAGAAAAAAATATACATATGGCCAGAGATGAGGCTGAATGCCTGTCATCCCAGCACTCAGGAGGCTGAGGCAGGAGGATCAACCTAGGCTACACAGTGAGTTCAAGGCCAGCCTAAACTACATGGTAAAATTGTTTCTCAAAAAATAAATAAACAAACACACACACACACACACACACACACACTCTCAAGATTTTTGACTAAAATTTTTGGTAAAATTATTAAATTTTGTAGCTTTAGTCAATTTAAAATGAAGATTTTGCCAAATGATTCAAAGTATTCCCCCTGACCTTTTCCCTACCACCTTGAAACAAGCAAGAGAAAAGGGTCCACAGACAGCCAATATAGCAATAATAATATTAATGTTAACTATAAAATATTTAATATTAACTATAAAATAAAACCTAACAAGCATTAAAAATGTTCAACATCATTAGGCATTAGGGCAATGTAAATCAAAACCACAATGAGGAACCAATTCATAACCACTAGAATGGTTATAATTTAAAAGAAAAATAACAAGATTTAGCATGAGAGGAATACAGACAGTACCCTAAAATGTTCCATCTAGAAAACAATCATGAAAGACCAAAACTGCCATCAACAACATATTAAACCTGCACTGTCCAGAACAATAGCCACCAGCCACACAACTATTAAGTATTTCCAATGTGTCTGGTACAGATGGAGGTGAGCTCTATGTATAAAATAACCCTGACTTCAAAGACGTAGTATATGATGAGAGTTCAATATTTTATATAGCTTACTTCTGAAATGACATTTTAGATATACCAAAGTGAATTAAATAAAATATATTATTACACTTAATTTCACCTGTTTATGTTTTTAAAATATGGCAACTGAAATTTTGTTTTTTGGTACTGGGGATTGAACTCAGGACTTTGCACTTGTGAGGCAGGTGGCAGCACCACTGAGCTAAATCCCCACCCCTCGCAACTAAAAATTTTAAAATTAAAAATACACTCCCAATCTGTGTGGTTCAGATTTTTTTTTTTTTTTTTTCAGTGCTAGGGGTTGAATTCAGGGTCTCCATATTGAACTACATTCTAGCCTCTTTTGTATATTTTATTTTGAGACAGTCTCACTAAGTTACTAAGTTGCCCGGTCTGGGCTCAAATTTTAGATCTTCCAGCCTGCCTAAGCCTCTGAGTGCAGAATTACAGGCTTGTGCCAAAACTCCCAGCTTGTATTTCTAGGGATGCTTATGTAGACCTAGAAGATAATAAAGCAATGCATTTTAAAACCTGGAGAGAAAGTGATGTTTCATTTTAAAGTCTCTATTCAAACTATCTGTTAAGAATATAAAATATATCTTTAGATAAAATCTCAAAAAATATTATCCATCTTTCTACTCTTTCTCAAATAACAATGGAATATAAACTTCACAGGAAAAAGATACAGAAGTAGTAGTAGTTGTACTGGACCTTCAAGAGACAAAGGGAGTTCCTAACTTAATGATAAAGGCAAGTCCCAGAGGGGCTACAAAGCACATCTTAAGAGAACCACCAGGCCACACTGGATCAAGAAAACACAAGCTGCAGGAGGGATGTCTCCAAGAAGAGGCCAAAGGGATACTGACAAGACTGAAGATATTTATAGTTCCATAAGAGAGCTGGGAATTAATGAGATGAACAGAAAACCAAACAAATGGCAGGCATAACTTCAGAAATAACAGCTGTGTCAAAAAAAAGAAAAAGTAATTTCTGTGTACCATGTAATCAATCTATCTCTGAGTACTTTTATAATCATAATCACATAAACATGGAACAATGACTTAACTAAAAAAGTTCATTTATCTGAAGGGCTTGGAGAAAAGAAGGGGCATGCATTGAGTGTTCTGGGGCTGGGGGGTCAGGGGTACTAATTTTAAAAGCTGAATCATATTCTCAGGTAGAAAATTTAAAAATATCTAAAACTAAAAAAATTGAGGTGATATAAAATAAGCCAAGATATCTACAAACAGAAGAAATACCTGAATAAACAGTCAAACTTATTAAAGAAGTTATCTTAAAAATAGGAATCAGGAGGCTGAATAGAGTGGTATATCTGTTTACCTTATCGAAGATTCTTATACTGCTATGATTAAAATATATAACGAATGACACCATCTACATAGAAGCAATTCTGATTCTTAGTTTTACACTAGTAACTGCCCTAAAGTGAATTAATCTTTATTTCACTAGAAAGGGAGTAGAAACAGTTCTATACTGTTAGCCAGTTTAATTTTGTTCTTAGAACCATCTTCCAAAACCAGGGATCAATCACCACAATACCTTTCCACTGGGTTCTGTATCCCTTCTATGAAAACCAAATTATACCACAGATAATTTTCTGAGATTCATTTCAAAGACTATATCAAATAATATTAATTCTGTGTTTGATCACAAATTAATCATTTAAACCTACAGGTCATAATGCTGATTCCATTTTGGATCAAGTGTATTCTTCACAGTATCTGTAGAATGGCATTGTCCAGATCCATCAACCACCACCTTAGCAAATGGGTCAGGAAGTCCTGTGGAAAAAAAAAAGGGGGGAGATTTTACTTTTTAGTTAAAGAATATTTTGACACATAAGATGGATTACATAAAGATTACCATTTGCTACAAAAATTATTCCATTCTTTACTTCTTTTTAAAAACATGAACATTTAATTATAAATGAAAAGTGGTCTGTTTTAAACCAAATACTAAAGTCACTTCCACAGTAAATACCAGAATATTATTGCTCCTGCCTCAAAATAGTCTCAGTTTAAAGGTTATTTCAAATTGCAGAATTTTTTAAGGATTGTTACCAGTCCTATGATCTCAGAAAGATGAACACTTAGAACATTCATGGCTCTCCCCAAATGGCTCCCTTAGTAGCTCATTTTAAAAGGTGTTTCCTTCTTTTCTTGTGTTTGTTTTTCCCCCTGACAAAGGGTCTCACTATATAGTTTAGGATGGCTTTGAACTTACTATGTAACCCAGGCTGACTCCAATCTCTTGGCAATCCTCCTGCCTCAGCCTCCCAAATGCTGGGATTACAGGCAAGCACCACCAAACCCAGCTTCCTAAAGAACTTATTAAATGTAGGTGTGCTATGCATGTGTACCAGCTCCCTATGATGAATACAACCATTATGTACTACAAACATATACTACTAAAAATAAAACAAAAAAAAAATCAACAACAAATGAACTACAGAGAAATCAAATTAGCCAACATTTTTTTAGTAACCTCCATGAGTGATGAGAGATTGAACCAAAAATGTAATACTCTGCAATAAAAGAGCTTACTATTTGTTATAGTTTAGATCTGGTTTGGTCCCCAAAAGCTTCACGTATTTTGAAAGTGATTGGATCGTGGAGGCACTACACTCATGGGTAGATTAATCCACTAATGCATTCATTCACGGTTGACTTACTGTTAGGAGGTAGTGCCTGACAGTCACAAGAGTGTGACCTGGAAGGGTACCTCCTCCTAGCTTCTTCCCTTTTCTCTCTCTGCTTCTTGGTTCCATGACATGAGCAGCTTTCCTTTTGTCAGAATTTTCCTCCATACTGTTTCTGCCTCAGAGCCAGCTAACTAGGGACTGTAACTGACAGCCAAAATAAACCTCTCTTCTAAGTTGCAGGGGTTGGTATTTTGTCCCAGTGACAAGTCATTAAGACACTGTCTAGTTGGGGAGATTATGGTCTCAGGGAGAGGCAGACTGAGAACAAACAATGCTTGGCTATACTGATTAAAATAGCAAACACTTAAAACACTACAGAGAGTACTATTTCATATATATCCTTTATCCTCACAAACACCCGATGAGGCAGATACTGCCATTAGCCCCATTTGATAAGGAAGCTGAGGTACAAAGGGGTTAATTACCCTAAGGTCACACAGAGTAAGGGACAAAGCCAGGGTCTAAAGCTTAGATTCTAAACTCAAGTCACTTTCTCAACAACTATAATGTATACCTCCCATTTATGTACCATGTAGTTCAACAGTAAATATATGAGATAAGAAAACCACGAGAACAGTTTGAACAGTACGGAAAAAAGGTATGATGGGACTCATCTGGGGTTTAAAGGACAAATAGGTAAGTAAAGGAAGACTTTCCTAGTAACAGGAAGAGTACCAAAAAGACTAGGACAATATTTGAAAGGCAATGGAGAAACCAACCAAAGTGTTTGTGATAAGGTATAAAATTAAAATACTGCTAGAGAGATAAGACTGAGGGTTAGGAGTTCAGAAAATAAGTTTGGAATGAGTGAGGTAAATCACAGGAAGCCATTACAAGTTCTTGAGCATGGATATATAGTCATGTTTTTCTAGTGGTGGTACTCAGGATAGACTAGAAGAAAATGCTACCAACAGAGACCACTATAAAACTGTTACTGTTATGTCCCCCTACAGCCTCATGCAGTTTAGTTGGGTTTTTTTTTCAGAGGTGGCTGGAACTACCACATATGATACAGGGATTAAGTGTGTGTAATTACTAAATCAGTCCACTGATAGGTTTGGCATAGTTCTGGGTAGGATTAAGGTTGCCCCATCCTGGGTTTGAGTGCTACCCACCCTAAGGGCAGGTGGCCTTAATAAAATATAAAGGATAGAAAAAGGGTTAGTGTGGTAACTTGCTTGTCGCTTGCTGCCTTCTGCCTATCGTGAACTATTTCTCCTCTGTGAGGTCCCTCTGCCATGTCACCCTGCCTTGGAGCCAGCCAACTATGAACTGAAACCTTTACAAATTGTAAGCTAAATAACCTTTCCTCCTTTAACACTGGGTATCAGGCATTTTGTCTCAGCAATCCGAAAAGTAAGACAGTTAATTCAAAAGTAGAATGAGAAGACAAGGACTGAGAGAAGTCACATCAAAAGGGAAAGGAAATGACAAGAGAGACACTCTGAAAGGTTTAATACAAATTAATAAGAAACCAATGTCAAAAATAACACAAGTTTTTTTCCTGCCCAAAGCAATAGTGGTCCTTTTTGTTGGTTTTGTTTTGTTTGAGACAGGATCTCTCTCTGTAGTTCAGGCTGGCTTTGAACTTATTATGTAGCCCAGGCTGGCCTCAAATTCAAAGCGATCCTCCTGCCTCAGACTCCCAAGTGCCAGGGTTATAGGCGTGTACCATAGTGCCCCAGAATAATGGAACTTCTGGACAAAAAATAAGAAAGTCAGGAGAAAGTGGTACTATAAAGAATAAAAGAACAAAAATGCTAATTTAGATGCTAGAAGTCAAAATGCTAATTTGCCATGATTCAAGAACAGCTAGAAATAGCCTATCCAGTTCTCCAATTCCATGATTCTTATTTCCTCAAATAAATAAGAGAAAACAAAATTTTAATTAATAAATTTTAAAGAAAATTAAATTAAGTTAGGGTATCCAATCTACTTAACCGTACTGTTTTTGAAGCTCAGGGCTAGTCAAATTATTTGAATAATTCCTAGCAAGCTGTAAATGCACTTAATAGAAGTTTTTACCTCTTCCTTGAATAACATTAAAAGTATTTTCTCCTGGGCCATGGATTTAGCTCAGTGGCACCATGCCTGCCTGGCAAGCACAGGGCCCTGAGTTCAATCCCCAGTACCAAAAAAAAAGTATTTTCTCCTGAGAAGAATCCACTCTATATTGTTCGTTTGATTTTACTATCTAAATTAATAAACATATAAATGTATGTATTAAGCAAAAACCAAAATCACATTTCTAGCTTTCCCTCTGGGTATTATTTAACTAGCTAAAGAATGAAGGATTACCCAGGCGCTGTGGTGCGCACTTGTGACCCCAGTACCGTGGGAGAATTGAGACAGGAGGATCACAAGTTTGAGCCACCCTGGGCAACTTAGTCCCTTTCTCTAAGTAAAAAACTTTACTGGGGACATGATTTGGTGCAAAGGCCCTGGGGCCAAATCTCAATATTGCAAAAAAGAAACAAAAAAGTAAGGCTTAAAAACTTTTCGTACAAACTTCCAAGGTGTATCTTCCAGATCCTTAATAAAGTAGGAAAGTCTTAAGTTCCAGTTTCCTATTTTTCTTCTTTTAAGCAGTACAACAAACCAAAATATGATCTCTGTATCTTAACGACAAAAAAAAAAAAAAAAAAACCTAGGTTGCAACTTAAACTGACTGTGCTAGTCTACAAAACTTAAGGCCAAGTTACTTAATGTGGTACGAAAAACTAGTTTTCTAAAGCTAGTGAGACCTCTAGTGGTAAATATAAAGTGGCTGAAGTGTTTTCTGAAGTGCTTTAAAAATTTCTCAATTCTTCCCATCACTTACAAGTCAGATCAAATACCTTAGCTCAAGATCCTATTATACAAATGTACTTAGTAAGCTGTAAATAATACTGAAATAAAAATTTTAACTTAAATTGTGTTACTTTTCAAAGAAAAAAGCTTTATTTTGTGATGGTTAAAAAAATTCAATTGACCTATATTCATTCTGAGTGACTGATCTGGCTTCTATAAAATATTACATCATCTTACAAGTAAATCTTTGTGTGGGGGGAGGAAGGGACTTTGGGGATTGAACCCAAGGCCTTCACACAGAGCTACACCCTAGCCCTTTTATATTATTTTTTATTTTGGGACAGGGTCTCAATAAGTCATTAATTGCCTACTAAAGCTCCACATTGCAATCCTATTGCCTCAGACTCTCACAGTGCTGAGACTGGAGTTATGCACCACCACACCACATAAATCTTTTTTTTTTTAATGTTGTATTAAAGAGACAAAATCTGATACTAATTAAAACATTTTTTACAGAGAACATAATGAATAGTTATGTGATAAAAATTAAAGGTAGAATCTAAATGTTGGATGCTCACTACAAAATTCTTTAGCCTGTTGCTTCATAATTGACAACTTCCCTGCTGAAATTTGAGGGGAAAGGAGCAGTGACTTGGATTTTAAAGCTAGCATGCTCGAAAATAGTTTCAAAACATGAATCAAAAAAACTTTCCTCAGCAAGGATAGTGTCCTGGAATAGTTATTTCCTCACATAAATTACTCTACAAAAGACAACATATGTGGGCCAGGGATTTAGCTCAGTGGTGCCACCGCCTGTCTCACAAGTGCAAGGTCCTAAATTCGTTCCCCAGTACTTAAAAAAAAAAAAAAAAAGAAAAAAAAAGGACAACACATGGCAGAATTTTTTCCCATGAAATAAATATGTATCTATTTCATCATCCTGTAGTAATGCTCCACATTAAAATTTACTTTCACATTTAATGTAATTTAAACTAAATCACAAAAAGTTAACATTTTATTAATAATTACACTGTGATCAATAAAAACATACTAAAATTTAAAGTATTAGAGACTATTATATTCCTCAGAAATTAATGTGGCAAATCTCAAATTACAAATAGGTCAAAACATCTGGAAGTACAGATGTGAATCTACCATGACAGTGATTGTGAAGCAATGGCCAGGGGGAAACCTGTGTTATACTTCCATCCCTGGCTGGCTTCCTTCTGAATGCCTGAAGATTGGCTTTGCTATTTCCCTTCAGGCCATCAAGTTTTAAAGATAATTACAATTTCCCCTAATCTTATCCCTAAAGCAAACATATACTCTTAAAATTTTTTTATCAATTTTTATTGTCTATACCAATGAAAAAGGGAAAAGATAGCCTTCTTTCCTTCGCCTACAATTTAAGAACAGAAAAAGACAGGCTTACAAAGAATTAATGGAAGATTCCTCTAGATTTCCTAGGAAAATTGAGACAAGAATATCTGGATATTGTTTTGGAGAAGCTGTGTCTTGGGACTCTAGAAGAAGGAAAAGAATTAGCAAAGTAAGGTTGGGAAACAAAGCTGAAGATACTATCTTCAAAACGATAGCAGATGTCTTGGAAGGCACCAAAGCTGCTGTTAAACTACTCACTTCCCTCCTTTCTCTTTTACCCTTGTCACCAGCCTAATCTCAATCTGCCAATTTGCAGTTCCACTAGGATAAATCCTACCACAAATGAACCTTAAAAAGGGTGAGAAAAAAGTGCACCTTGGTTAATAGCGATAAGATAATTGAGTAGCAACATGAAATATAATATGAATTGGTGGCAGCAGGGTGAAATGTGAAGTTCTATGGGCACTGGGTTCTCCTCCAGTGTGATGACATGTTTGGGCGGTAGAGGGCACATGGTATATATGCTGAAGACTGTTTGCAATTTTCTTCCTGTGTTTCAAATTATACTTTTTAATAGTTTTCCAAACTTTAATTCAGGTCCTATTCTAGGAAGATGGGAAGTAATAAAATTTCAAAAGGGATGAATTAAGTATGATTTGAAAATATATCAACAGCTTACTTCCCGGTGTGATAGCAAATGTCTGGAATCCTAGCACGTGGGAGGCTGAAGCAGGAGGATTGCCACAAGTCTGAGGCCTGCCTGGGCTACAGTGAGTTCAAGGCCAGCCTGAACTATCTAGCAAGACTGTCTCAAACAAAACAAAACAAAACAAAACAAAACAAAACAAAACAAAAAATACACAAAACAACAAAACAAAAAATGAGGAAAGCGAGAGCTTATTTCTTCTAATCAAATTCTTGAAAATTAGTGTCAAACTAAATCAGAAAGCGTGCACACACAGGATTTTTACTTCATGGTAGGACTTGAATTTTAAAATAATATTCTCTGCTTCTAATTTCAAACATTTTACATATAAAAGTTTGTTGCCTGGCCAGAGAATTAGCTCAGTGGCACTGCACCTGCCCCACAAGCACAAGGTCCTGAGTTTGATCCCACTTCCAGTACCAGTACACCCCCACCAAAAATTGTTGTCTGAAAAGTTTTTAATAAAAATTATGAAATTTTTATTAAATAAATGAAAGCTATTATGAAGTATTAAGATTAAGATTTTTAACACACAGTACTTCTAATTGTCTCAAAATTTAAGCCTTAAAGGGTGGGAGATTTAGCTCAGTGGTGCCACGGCCTGCCTCACAAGTGCAAGATCCCAAGTTTGATCCCCAGTACCAAAAAAAAAAAAAAAAAAAAACAAAAAAAACCCAACAAAAATTTAAGCCTAAATAAAGCCACAAAAAATTTCACAACCAATTGATGAAAAGACTGCAGATACTGGGAACCAAGGGCCAGGGATTTAGCTCAGTGGGTCTGCTGCCTGCCTTGTAAGCTCAAGGTCCTGAGTTTGATCCCCAGTACCCCACCCCCCAAATGACACTGGAACCAAACATTTGCTCTGGAACTTGAGGCACAAGTGCACCTACAATCATATGTGGCAGAGATTTCTTTCTTACAACTCTGCAAATTCCAAGCAACCTGAGTGACTTTTCTACCTTTTAATGAATCCTGAATGCAAAGGTAAAATTTCCTATGTTTTTAAAAAATGGTATTTACAAAATATTTTCTTAAATATTTTCTAGAAATCTAATAGTATGCACAACTTTCACATGCATTACATGTATCTGCATTTACACAACTGCATACACACACATTCATGTAAATATGCAAGAGGGATAAAGGGAAAGAGGCTAAGGCTAAAAAGCATAAAATCTCCCAGAAAAATGTAATGTCAAAAGCATTCATAAAATAAGAACATATTTCTGAATGTAGAAATCCCTAAACCTGACACTTCTGAAATGTTATCCAAAAAACCTACACAGAATATACAAGATTTATATTTAAAGTTAATTTACTTACGGAAAAAATCCTTTTTCACCAAGTTTTTTGCACAGAGTACTGTAAAAGAAACAAAAAATACATGGGAAAAATTAAAATAAAATGGTTAAGATGTCACTGCTTCATTATAAACCACTGAAAACAGCATGGATAATTAGTCTTAACTATACAATACAGCAAGGTATGAAATTTGACCATGAACTTTTATTATAGACCAACCAGAAAACAAAAGACAGCTGAACATCAATGGTGGCAACTTTAGCAATGATTATTGGTAACAACTGATACCAAGAAAGTATATAAATCCAGTTCTAATCAGGACCAAATCAATTCCTATCTACCTACCATTAAGATCTAAGAGAAACCCAGCAGCAGCAAAAAAAATACTGAGGATAGGATATGTAAATTGAAGCTGTCTATTTTAGGGATGAAATAATTTTATACTGAAAAGGATTAAAAAATAAGATTAAAAAATGAACAAACAAAAAAGATAAAGCTTTCCTGATATAGATGAGATTTTTAAAAAAATATTTTGTTCTTACCTAAATGCCACAGAAACTTTTCAGAAAGATATATTACTTTCCTTAAATCATCACCTCAAGGAGGAAAGATAGCCTCTTTAATAAATGGTGTTGGAAAAACTGGATATCAACCTGCCACAGATTAAAATTAGACCCTTATCTTTCGCCATGCACTAAATTAAAATCCAAATGGATTAAAGATCTAAATATTAAAACAGAAACATTAAACTTGCTGGAAAGTAAGTTAGGCAGAACTCTGGAAGACATTGGTATAGGAAAAGACTTTATGAACAAATCCTCAGTAGCACGGGAACTAGCAGAAAGAATCAACAACTGGGATCTCATCTTACTAAAAAGCTTCTGTACTTCAAAAGAAACCATTAGCAGAACTAAGAGACAATCTACAATGTGGGAAAAAATTTTTACCAGCTGTACCTCAGACAAAGGACTATTATCAAGGATATATAAAGAACTCAAAACAATCAGTCCCCCCAAATATAAAGACCCGATCCAAAAATGGGCATCCGAAATGAACAGACATTTCTCATACAAAGAAGTGAAAGCAGCAAGAAAATATATGAAAAAATGTTCCACATCACTGGTCATTCGAGAGATGCAGATGAAAACAACACTGAGATTCCACCTCACCCCACAAAGAATGGCTGCTATCAAGAAATCACACAATAACAAATGTTGGCGGGGTTGTGGGGAGAAAGGAACCCTCCTCCATTGTTGGTGGGAGTGCAGACTAGTGCAACCACTATGGAAATCAATATGGAGATACCTCAAAGAGCTTGGACTGGAGGTTCCATTTGACCCAGCCATCCCTCTGTTGGGTATCTTTCCAAGAGAACTAAAAGAATCATATCACAGAGAAGTATGTGCACCCATGTTTATAGCGGCACAGTTTGTAATAGCTAAATCTTGGAAACAACCTATTTGCCCATCCGTTGGAAACTGGATAAAGAAGTTGTGGTTTTTCTATAAAATGGAATATTACTCAGCCATAAAGAGCGAGAGAATAGATTCATTCATAGGAAAATGGATACATATTGAAGATATACTCCTAAGTGAAATAAATAAGTCCCACATGTGTAAATACCAAATAGTTTCCCTGGTGTGAATATTCTGCAACAATGCATAAGATTCTAATAAGATTACTGACCTTTAGAAATGGGAGGAAAGGAGCTAAAGGTGTAGGGAAGGTGTGATACGTAGGGGAAGAACAAAAAGGGAAAAGAAAAAAATGTGAGAGAATGAAAAGATGAAAATAAAGTGTTTGTAGATGGGGAGGGGAGGAGGGGGTGAAGGGAGGGCAGAGGTAAGGGGAAAAAAATGAGAATCAAGACTTGCCATGTAAAGGTACATGATCCCAACAATGAATGTAACTGTACTGTATCCCTAAATGTACCAATAAACTAAAAAAAAAAAAAAAAAAATCATCACCTCAATGATAAAATGGCTCTACCACTGTGTCCTTTAAAAAGTTAGATATACCAAATCTGAGTTACTGTGTATTAATTTACCTAAGTAAATTATTACTTACATGGATGTAAACTTATGACTTACATAGAATAAATTTCCCTCAATCTTTGTAAGTGAAGGGAAAGATAAATTTTCATGTATTTATAATTAAATCTATAAAATGACTAATGTAATATTTGGTTAACATTTCTCAGTTTTTTGTTTTTTGTTTTTTTGGTACCGGGGATCGAACTCGGGCCCTGACATTTCTCAGTTTTAATGGTTTAGTTACAGTTACTGGGGGTTTCATGTGTAAAAATTCATTTAACATAAACTTGGGAATAAATTTAGATATAATCACTTTAGAAGTTCAAATAAAAAATTCTTCAGAAGACAGATACCATAAATTAATAAATTTACTAAGCACAAGATGCTGACTTATTATAATTAGCCTGAGCCCCTTAGACATAGACTGTCTTAGAAAGTTTTGTTTAAAAAAGAAATCAATAAAATGAGTGCCACAACAAAGAATGCCAAATCATAAACTGGATTTAGAAGAACTCCTTCTCAAACTTTTCACATCATATAAACTGACTACTCCCAATCAATACATATAGCACACACAAATCCAAGTTACAATCTTCAGTATTAATGAAGTAATGGTGATTTTTTTGAAAACACTATCTTATGATTCATGATGTGAAATGATTTTACATCTAACTTCCAAATAATAGAAAACAGGAGACTTCTTGACACAAACACCATTTTCATGTTTTTCCCCCTATTTTCAATATCCACTCTCCTAAAACTACACTTCCACCCATGTTCTGGATTTCCCATCCTATCTACTGCTCAGAGAAGGACCTTGAGAGCCACCATATACTCCTCTACCTTGTCTCTGTGAGCATTTACCTACTCAAGTCCTATGCAAACTCCCTCCAGCCACCTCTTTTTCATAATTAAATTCCTTCAAAGAACTGTACTTTCTAACTTCACTTCTTTACCTCCCACTAATTCCTCAATCCACCACAGCCCCTAATCCGCTTTGCCAAATCCCTAGCAATATCATTATCAAATACATCCAGTGGATCTATTTAACAGCACATTCACACAAGGAATAAAATTAAGTCTTCTTTGCCAGATTTTTTTTTTTTTTCTTTTTGTACTGGGGGTTGAACTCGGGTCCTTGTGATTGCGAGGTTGGAGGCAGAACCATTGAGCTAAATCCTCAGCCCTGATAGATGTTTTTATACTCAAAAGGCTGAGGTTCTTTAGGGTTTTGCCCTAGGTCCTCATCTTTCACTCTATAACTTGAGGTATACAGATACACATTTCCGTAAACTCTGAAATTATATATAAATTGCTATTAGTATGTGTATTTTTCTGGTAAGAAAACGTACATCTTTCCTGAGAGTTCACATCTAACATACTGACAAAATCTTCCTCTCAATATAAAATTTAAGAAGCACTTTTCCCTATGATCTCTCAGGTCTTTACCATTTACTCTGTAGTTCTGATGGCACGTAAGTATGTAAAGTCCAACTTTTAGTTGTTTCCTGAACTCCATGTCCACAAAACTAAACAGGCTTCCAAAATGTAATCAACACATTCCTTTGCCCCCAAACCTGTTCATTTTCCAGTTTACTTTCCTTAATAAATGGTCTTGCTTTCCACTCTACACAGCACAAGTCAGAAAGTTCATAGCAACCTTCACCATCCCTCTCCCTCCTGGATCTTTAGGCAACTACCAATTTTAATCAATGCTATCTGTGAAACATACTTCATCTGTCCCCTTCTTCCAGTACCTGTGCCATCATCTTGGTTCAAGCTGTTATAAATTACTGTCAAGATCATTACAACAGCCTCCTAATTAGTTCCCTGCTTCAAACCTCACCCGCCCCCTTCAATTCTCCACACTGGATCCAGAAGGATCTTTCAAAAAATTTGATTACATCCTCTTATCAAGCAATGTCTGATTTCACACACCTGTAATCCATTATTTTGTTACAAGCCTATAATTCCAGCACTCTTGGAAGCTTAGGCAAGAAGACTTCAAGTTGTAGTTCATTCTGGGAACTTAATGACTTAGAAATAGCCTGGCTCAAAAATTTTTAAAAAGGGATGATGAAGTACTAGCTCAGTGCAAAAGCCTTGGATACCATCTTCAGTAAAAAGCAAAGGGATGGGGGGATGCCCATCCATTTCATTTTCCCCCATCCTTTTCCTTTGCTTGTTTCAGTTCTTTGGTTGGGGGGCAGTTACCCAGAATCAAACTCAGGGCCTCACACTTGCCAGGCAGTATGCCACTGAGCTACATTCCCAGCCCTTGTTTTGGATTTTTGAGATAGGTTCTCTGTGTAGGCCAGACTGACCTCAAACTCCAGATCTTTCTGCCTCAGCCTCCCAAGTGCTAGGATCACAAGAGTCCACCACAACGCCCAGCTTTCTTCCATTCCTAAAGGTCTTCTGGCCCAAATGAATATTGGCTTTAATGCCATACAAACCCCACTTAACCTCTCCAACCTCATTTTTCTTCACAACTCCCCTCCAAGCCCCTCAGTTTAAGATCTAGCCATACTCAACTTTCTCAAAAGTACTCTCCCACATGACCCCAGCCTCAAACATTCTCCCCGGCTTCTTCATCCACTCATCTTTTAAGTCTCAAAAGAGAAGGACGCTGCACAGCAAAGGAAACCTCCAACAGAGTGAAGAAACAACTCACAGCATGGCAAAAAATCTTTACCTCCTCCAAAAAAAGGACTAAGATCTAGAATATAAAAAGAACTCAAAAAAAAATTCCAATCCCCAAAATTTAAAGACCCAATCCAAAAAAAGGCATCTGAAATAGTTCTCAGATGAAGTACAAATATAGCAAATAAATATATGAAAAAAATGTTCAACATTACTAGTCATTTGAGAAATGCAAATTAAAACAATGAGATTCCATCTCACTGCAGAAAGAATGGCTATTATCAAAAAATCAACCAATAACAAATGCTGATGGGGCTGTGAGGTAAAAGGAACTCTTCATTGTTGGTGGGAGTGTAAATTGGTGCAACCACTATGGAAATCAGT